AAAAAGTATCAGAGTGAAAGTTGAGATTGAGTTATTTAATCATTCACAAATAAAGAAAGGGCTTTACCCCATAGTTTTTTATTATTTCCTGGTTTTGCCCAAGTTGTTTGGGCACTCTTGCCTTCTATTTTTTCCTTTTATTTGAAAATGGGACGATTAAAATGACATACAATTAAACCCTAATAAAGTTTAAGAACTTTTGAGAAATTCAGTAAACAAAATTTATTGTTATGAAAATCCGTGACAATTGGTTTTTAAGAAAATAAATAATAAAATACTTATGTGGCAGCCCACAATGCAAATTGGACTTATAAACATGTAAACACGTACATAAGTATATGTATATGTGTTTGTGTAATACACGTACACACTAGAATTAACTTCATTGTTTTATAACAATGGATATAAAATAAAATGATCGGGATTCTTTTTCAGATTTGGGGTCATTATGATTGATTATATCTTATTTTATGTCCTTTTCAAACTAAGAGAAAGTTATGATATTATAACTTAAAGATAAAAGAATATATATTATAAAAACTTTCTATATATTATTTCTATGTTATGTATATGTGCGTATACATGTTTTTGTATGTGTGTGTGTGTGTGGGTCTGTGTGTATCCGCACAAAAATAAAGAATATGCCATAAAATTCATTGGCAGACAAATATTTTGCGTAAATGTTTGGAAGGCTAACAGAATAATAGTGGGTGAAGCTGGGCAGAAAATTTGCAGACTAGGGAACCAGGGTTGCAGCTCAGTAGAGAATTTATTTTCTCACCACAATCCTAGGATGTGTCAGGATTTGGACATATCATATGGCAGAAAACTGGAATGAGACATGAGGGTGAACTAGAATAAAGGAGAATGGAAGTCTATAGCTCCCTTTCTCATACTGTGTTTGAATAACATAATTCAGGGGGAAAAATAGCATTACAAAATGTAAAGAGCTGCAATTAACATCATCAGAGTGAGTCAAGAAAAGAGTGATCTAAAACTAAGAGCAGAATAATATAAAAAAGACAGGGAACAGAACAACAAAATACTCTTGAAATTAAAAATAAAAGAAAATCACTAGAAAAAATCAATAGAACTAGAAGACAAAGATGAAAAGATCACCATGAATACAGGATAAAGTATAAGACAGAAAGTGACAGTTAAAAGATAATTAGTGCTTAAATCTAGAACATCCAAAAAGCAAAGATTCAAAATTCCACAGACAGAAGAGAAAAACGTGGGGTAGGAAATTATTAAAGAATGATTGCAAGAAACTCTCTCAGAACTTAAGGTTCGGAAGCTCTGTGTTGAAAGGCGTCATGGAATGCCAAGTCCTGAGAATGACGAACAAAACTTCTCTTGACTCATTCATGTGAAATGTTATAACAATAAGAATAAAAATTATGAAGACCCTTATGTAAAAAACCATATCACATATAACGAAAAGAATGACATGGTCACTATGCTATCTCATCACCTCAGTTGGATGCTAAAATATGACAGAAACTATTTTCAAAATATTGAGTGAATCATTAAAAAAGACCATAATTCCAAATAAGAATTGTGTACCTAAACAAACTACAGATTGGTGAGAAAAAAAAAAATTCAAGGGAGGAGTAATTTATGAAAATAACATACCCCTCCCACCACATACACATGTCCCTTCCCTTAGTAATCAAACTCAGACTGTTTATTGACATTTAATCAACTCTTTGTTCAGGTTTAGTAATAAGTGAGGGACCACTTCAAATATAAGGCCTGTATATTGACATCTTGTTTTAGGAATTCCCATTTTTAATAAAATAGTTATTGAAACTCTTCCAAGGATTTCTGTATTCAATAGCACATCCCTTCTAATTTTTTCTTCCTATCCTTTGTTTATCCTGTTTGGCTCAATATCTGGGCCTAATTATTTTAACATTTTTTTTTCTCTCATCATATGTACACCTCTGCTTTTCAATCTTGCAGAAAAATTTTGACATTTGCACCTAGGAAATGTTTGGCCTCTCTTACGTGGTAGAAGTGGTGAGTTTTAATGTATAATTAATCCAATCCATAGTTCAAAGATTCCTAATATTTATAATACGCTTTAAGGTTCTCTATGATTCTCATAATTACATGTAATCAATATTTAAATGATTTAGTGAACTTCATGAGATTGTAACAAGAATTTAAGAATCAAGACATTTTAGAGGAAATGTATACAACACTAAGTTCAACAAATTAATTTTGCCAAAGAAAACAGAACACTGGGAGGCTAAGGAGCTTGCCTCACATTTCTGGTGAGAATTTGGTACAAAAGCAATTTTGGATTATCTCTAGTATATCACATTGTTGCACTCATATGTGTTGATCTAATACTTCATTGAACACAATTAAATGTAACATTTTAAAATATATATAAGTAACATACATGTTACATATAATACATACATATATACTTCCATAAAAGTAAACATGCAAGGCAATAAAATTATGGTTTAATTATTATTAATAGCCAAAATTCCCCATATAAGTTCTAAACATTTTATAGTGCTTAATGCTTAAACGAAGGTCAGTAATTTTGTTATTATAAAATAAAACAGAACCCAACATATTGCAAGTATTGAAATATTAGGCCTAGTGTGATGTCATAGCATAAAAGATATCCCATAATACTTAAATTTATGAGCACCAAAGACCTCTTTTCCCCATATCTCTCCTCTGGTGTCCCGTTGTATCTGAAATCATTTCTATTCACTTTTTTCCCCATATATTTGGTTTGTTTTGTGTGAGTTTTAAACCAAGCCAGTTTGTAAAAAAGAGTATGTGATGAACATCTCTGTGGTTGATGTGCGCTGAATTGCATCTCTTCGAAAATCATGTGTTGAAGTCCTAAACCCCAGTAACTCACAATGTGATTATATTTGGAGATAGAGCCTTTACAAAGGTAATTGAGATAAAAAGAGCTCTTATGGGTGGGTCCTAATACAGTATAACTGGCGTCTTTTTTTGTTTATGTTTTTGTTTTTGAGACACAGTCTCAGTCTATCGCCCAGGCTGGAGTGCAGTGGTGACAATTCAGCTTATTGCAACCTCTGCCTCCTGGGTTTTAAGCATTTCTCTCTGCCTCACCCTCTGGAGTAGCTGGGATTACAGGCGCCTGCCACCATGCCCAGCTAAATTTTGTATTTTTGGTAGAGACAGGGTTTCGCCATGTTGTCCAGGCTGGTCTTGAACTCCTGACCTCAGGTGATCCACCCACCTCGGCTCCCAAAGCTGGGATTACAGGCACCGTGCCCAGCCTGGTGTATTTCATAAGAAGAGAAATTGGGACATGAGTAAGCACAAAGGGACTACCGTGCGAAGACACAGAGAGAAGATGGCCATGGGCAAGCCAAGGAGGGACTCCCAGGAGAAATCAACCCTGCCAACCCCTTGATCTTGGATGTTTTGCCTCCAGAACTGTGAGAAAATACGTTACTGTTAAGTCACTCAGTCTGTGATATTTTGTTATGGCAGATCTAGCAAACAAATACAGTGGTGTGGCAAAAATAAAAGCCGGACGTACTAAAAAGTATTCAACAGTTTGGTGAAAATAAGATCCTACCTATTTCATATTTTTGTTCAGCATCTCAGCCATGAGGTTTGAAATGACCCGCCCCTCCCAAGTTTTCTCCATGCTACCATTGCCTCTGCTAAATGACCGCATGCAGAGGCAGTTAGATTTCCTACAAAATGCAAAATGCAGCAATTCCTGATGGGAATCTTTTTGTCTACCAGAAGTAATCTTGCATGGTAAGCTTCTTCAGGGGTTATGCATCACTCCATAGCAAATCATGGTGCTAAGGCAAACCCAAAAATTGTCCTAATTTTTCTCTCCAGGATAGTTATGGCTTCACCAGCTTTTGAAACATGTTATGTAAATACTTTCCCAAACATACTGTAAATTACCACACTACATCAATATTATAATGCAGTTCTTAGGGATAGATAAAGGTAAAATTGGGATGGGATAGAAGAAAACAAGTTCATCAGCCATTCCTGAGAGGGAGAAAATGAGAATTTGGAACTGGGAGATATCAACAAAGAAATGGGGAACGCGAATTCAAATGGCCCCATTGCCACAGCTAATGAGTAGTCAGATCATTTTAATGGATGCATTTATAAATGAATAAAGGTGAATATGATTTTCTTGTGTTGTCTATACTTCTGCCTGTTTTTCCCATGTGTGAATTTTTAGCTTCAAAACCTTGCAAATATTAAATATATTTATAAGTATTTCATAAATCCAGCTAGATATTGACCGTATCTTCAGGATGGACCCATAAGTAACTTCAATTTTTGCATACATATAGTGTCAGTATTACAGTAGTCACTTAAGCAGTTATCATATTCATAGAAAATGTATTATTTTATAATTAGTTTGCATATTTTTATGTTTTCCAAGCTAGTGTGCAATCTGCTTGAAAGTGATGTATGTGAGTTTAGTTTACTAATGTGCTTATAAAATCTAATATTACTTAGAAATTTGCATCAAATTAAAAAGTTCTTTACAGGGAATTTGTAAGGGATAATTTACATTAAGACTTTTGTAGATGAGAGAACAAAGAGGCAACTATGAGCTCCAATATGATAATGGTGTTCACAAAGTTGAAGTCCACGTAAGTAAAGTAAGTATATTAGCTGCCTGAAATTGAATTTGTGTTCATTTTAGGATTCAGTCATTGGTTTGAATTTTTTAAGTCCTCGACAGTTTATTTTTTCAATAATGTATAACAAATATTTTTAGACATCTTATAAATCCATCCTTGATTATTTGATATGTATTTTATTTTGCTGCTCATCAAAGAATCACTAGATTGTAAGAAACTCTGAGAAACTGTGCAATGAATTTCTCCTTCCAAGCTTAAATGAATGGCACTTTTTTCTTCTAGGAATTTTCATAGAAACACAACCTGAAATTATATCTATGACTAAAAGCTGAATCTGGTGACTGTTAAAACCAATTTTCCACACACCAGTACAATATTAAGCAAAACCAATATTTATTTTAATGTGTAATTTGAGCCCTGAGGCCTCTCTTTATAAAGAGGAATATTTTTTCTTTTCTTTTTTTTTTAATTTGATTTTTTTTTGGAAAAGAAAGTAACATTTTAATGAACAGCTTTAATGTGAACTAATGTTAAGATCAAACATCGTTTCCAGAATTCGGGACTTACATATTGAACTTGATATTTTCATATTTATTTCAATTTTCTGAAAGGATAGGATAAACATACGTCTTAGCATACAGTTTAAAAAAGAAAAAGAAAACCTTTTGGATTAGAAGACGGTGGAGATCAGGAAGTGTTCCTTTGTTCTCAAAAGGAATGAGGAGAGTCAGAGTGTCGCTATTGCTTCTTGACATAAGGACGTCTTTGTTTTATGTCCTCTTTATTTCTGAATCCTGCAATACCATCACAGCAGAGTGCACTGTACACCGCTTTAAATGATAAGAGTTTCAATAGGCACTTTAGTGGAATTAAGAAAAATCTAACACTCTTCCACCGTGATGCCACATAGCTATCTTCGTTCTAGGTTGTCATGTCAGTAAATTGTATTGAATAGGCCTGAGTTTGTCTCAGCGTGATTGTGAAAAAACCAAACAACAGAACGAAGCAAGTACACGTTATAGGATGTATCTCGTGTTGGCAGAATAAACCAAAACTGACAATACGATTAATTTAACAACTTGCTAGAAACCAGATAATCAAAGGAATCTTGTCCCAGAAAGTCTGTGTGTGTGTGTGTGTGTGTGTGTGTGTATGTGTGTGTGTGAGTGATTTCTATTAATATTTGTGTTTCTTTTTCTTTTTTAAAAATCTCCCCTCTCGGTTGTATTTTAGCCTTCACGACTCCCTTAAGTGACTTTATCAGGGTTATAACTCTCTTCTTCGCCAAACATGTCTGCCAAGACTTTAAAGCGGGGTCCCCAGTCCGTCAGGTAGTCGTAGTCCTGGTCAGCTTCTGTGGTGAGAGAGTCTATAGAGCTGAGGGACTCGGCCACGGACCCAGTCCCTTCGTAGGCATATGTGGCCAGTGAATCGTACGGTGGGGCAGTTGGGTCCACATCATTTTCCTGTAGCCTTTGATGAATGAAATCCCTTATGTCTGTGTTATCTTCCACGGGTGGTCTCTGACGAGGTAAACAGAGAGAGTCTGGTTTTATATCCCTGCGAATTTTGTTCTCCTCAATCACTTTTGGGTTTCTCAGAGCCCCGATGTCGAAAGCCTGGGTATCTTCCTCCCCGCCTCCTTCATCATCGTAATGGATGACGTTGTCTCTGATGTCTTCTTTAGAGGTCATCAGGCTATCTTTTTTCTTCTGCCTTCGCAGCGCTACATACAGTACAACTATGGCTGGAACAAGACAAAAATTGCAATTTGAGAATAGAAAGCAGATAGGACATTTCATCTCTCCATAAAAATTAAAAATGATTAGGGGTGGCTGAGTTTCGTTAATGGCCTCCAAGTATTTTAGGGTCAGGTAAAAGTGTGTGTTGCAACAAAAGAAAACATGAAATAATAGTTATTCCACTCATACAGAAAATTGTTAGCACTAATACAAGAAAACTTGAATATTATCATCTATAAATAAGACTATCATTCATAGCTAACTTCCCAGTTGGAACATTCCTTATTTTAAATTAGAAATTCATGTTTCTTACGCGATAAGCCCAAATCTTCACTGTGACAATTATTTTTATAGGCAATAAATAAGAAAGAGAGAAGTAGAGGAAAAGGAAAGATGGAAGGAAGGAAGGGAAGGGAAGGGAAGGGAGGGAGGGAGGAAGGAAGGAAAGAAGGAAAGAAGGAAGGAAGGAAGGAAGGAAGGAAGGAAGGAAGGAAGGAAGGAAGGAAGGAAACAAGGAAAATATAAGGACCTTAGTTTATAAATCTTACAAACTAAAGCATCGATTTCATTTCTGTGTCCTGCCATATTGAGACAGTTTTTAAATCAAGAGCCTAGAATTCAGGTTACTTTCTTGAAACAATGTTTTAAAATTGTTAATTTATGTACTTTTATAATTAAAATCTCTCTCTACTTCCAGTTGATTTAAAACTCTCCGCTAAGTCAATGGTGTTTATTTCTTCTATGCACAGATACAAGTGACGACGTCAGTGCTCAGCTTTTCTTGTCATAATAACCCCTCTCCTCCATAGTGGTGTCAACAGGTGAAAGCTAATGTGTGTTTGGTTTACCATAGCAGAGTCTGGAAGACACCTGTCATAGAATTATAAAGTAGAGAAGAATGCATAATAATAAAATTTCATGTATTCTCTCTTCCTCCAAAATTAGAGATGGACTAGTTGGAAGGAGAGAGGAGATCCATGTAGAGCTTCTGTACAGTGGGTCTTGGGGAGATGTTTAGCACCCTACACTCCTCCCACGGGTTTATATTCTCCTCTCAGAACAAAGGACACTATTGTTTGTTCCTCTACTTAGTATGTGAGAGACTGCAGACCTCATGGAGCAGTCCCATACATAAAATGAGTTCAGAATCATCATGGCTGAGAAAGAAACTAGCTGGATGTGTCTGAGGTCCATTTAAAAGGGATCCAAGCACCATAACTTTCTGTGCTTCTTCTCACCCCAAAAAGGATATGAGAATGGCTGAGAACAAGCTAGTAGACCTAAAGGAGTGTGACATTGGTCAAGGAGGTCAAAGATTAGACGAATTTTTACGCAGACCTTATGGCTGGACAAAGAGTGTCAATATACACTGCTGTATACCAAAAACTCACAATGCCTAGAATAGTGCTGGAGCTCTGTGGATGCTCAGGAAGTATTCGGATAAATGAGTGGCAGGTGGCAGTACATGATAAGGATGACCTGAGACCTGAGCAGATTACTTGCTACAGTGTATGATGGCCAAAGAGGCCAAAGGAGAACATCCTGAACATACCAAGCCATGTTAGGTTGATACTATCAACCCAAATAACAAACCGAAAGAGTTTCTCTGAAATAAAATATATTTATTTGGAAATAGAGTATAGCAATGAGAATGTGAGTGCCACAGTAAACTATGTGTGTGTTCAGGAAGATAAAGGAAGACAAAGGTTTTTAAAGAAAAAAATGAGGAGGATACATAATTGTTTTAAATAATTATCCTTGACTACAAAGATTAATAACAAGGGTGATGCCAGTGCAACATTGGACAGGTAGTTGCTGGGCAGATGTCCTGGCAGAAGTGATTTTGTACAAGGTTGTGGGGGCCGTGATTTTTACAGTTTTTTTCATTATCAGGCATATATGGGTGAAAACCCTCTCTCCATGGTCTTCTCTAGCTCTATTTGTCAGAATTTTCTTAACATTAGTGACTCCATTTTGATTCTGACAACTTTCACAATATAGAAATACTCCAGGACTCAGCTACAAGTGAAGAGAGGCATATGAGAGAGAAAAAATTCATTTGATGTTAAACATCTAAATGATCTCATTACATTTCAGATGTGAAAATATTACTTGGAATATGTCCTTAAGGTTTATCTTAACACAAAGAGATGCCCGGGATAATTTATTATGAATTATAAGGAAATAAAGAATACTTTGCTCTGCACACCAAAGTTTCTCATATGGAATTCACATCTACACCATGCCAATTGGGCTAGAACTTCACCCTCCACATCAGCATGAGCTTCTGACTCAGGGAGTGCTCTCCACAAGCTACCATTTAATGCCTTACTCCGTGCCTTACATCCTACTAATTAATTTTTTTCTTTCCTAGAGGTAAAATCAGGTGTCCATATTTGTCAGATTATTTTTGGTTAATTAGTAAATATGCATATATAATTTGATTCCACAATACCCAGTTGTATATCTGTTGCCATTTGATTTTAAAGGAATGAGGTGTAATAGAAAATCTCTCTCTACTTTTGTGAATCTGGCAGTGGATTAATAAATGGAGAAACTGAACAGAGTTGATGGAAGGGGGAACCCCCTAATAGGTTTATATTCAATCTCACCGAGATAATATAGAATACATTTACTTCAATGATTTTCCTTTGGAGTGTTTCCAGATATTTTATTCTGTTCTGTTCTAGTGGGAGTGGTTAGAATTTTGATGTAAGGAGATGCAAGAAAATGGAAGAATTACTTCTGGATGGCAGTTTAGACAGAAAAGACAAACAAATTTGAGGATTACTTTATGTTCTGTTTCTTTCTGTTCTCTCTTTTATTTTCCTTTCTTTATCTAACTGGAATCTGAGAACCATTGTTCATCAAGTATATTTTTTTAAAAAGATGATATCATCTCTTATTAGACAGCAGCAATTACTAGGATGTAAAACAAATTGAGAAGTTAGGTATGACATGTCCTTGAATAAAAGCTTGTTTACATGATAAATTGAGGAGAGAGATAGAGGAGAGAGAGGGGAAAAAAAGAAAGAAAGAGAGACCAAGCGAGAAAAAATTAACAATGATTAATATTGAAACCAACCTAAGAGTATAACAATGCATAGTAGAATTGCAATCAATGCCCCAGTGCTAAGTCCTACAGGTAGAAAAATTGCTTCCACATTACAAGACAGGATGGTGCCATCAGAGTCACATCTACAGACTCGAATAGTCATTGTGTTTGTGCTGCTCTGGACAGGGTAGCTGCTGTCTTCAATTATAACAGGGAGGAAATACAACTCTTGCTGCCTGCGGCTGTATCCATTTCTTCGGGTTTCAATCCCAGCTGTGTTGTCTACAAAACAGGACATTTATGGTAACATGGTTACTATGAGCTTCACTTCAAATCTTCAAGTTGGTATCTGCTCAATAGTAAGAAGCTCTTCTTGAATCAGGAAAAATGATTCTTAATTTCTTTATTTTTTTTTTCCCATTAGGAAAACTGCCAAAATATAATCAAAATAATCATTAGAGGAAAAATAAACATTAATCTTGTCTGGTAGGAGAATTAAATTTTCTGTTCAGAAAGATTATGGAATATTTTATAAGACAGAAAGTGAATTAAATTGATCAATTTGTTCCTGACATTGCAATCTCATTAAAAAGTAATTTTGTAAATATTTTCATGCATAATAGAAAATATTAAACTATGAATGTAAATTATTTCACATAAGAACCTATTCTTTAAACTATATTAAAACCAATTGACTATTTTAAATTAAGAATTTTTCTGTCTACATGTTGTATATGTCTATATGTTTATAAATATATGTTATATATGTTTGTATGTATGGGAATACTTTCAACTCTGCACATCAGCTGGAATAAGAAACATGGAAAGGAAAATAAGGTTTGTTAAAAACATTAAAAGTTGTAAACACCTTGAACTATAACAATCACTACTTTAATATAATTTAAAAAGTAATTCATTGTAATTCTGGTTAATTCAAAATCATATTTACTTGTAATAATGTGAGACAATAAAAATTACTAGTTTTATATAAATGCAATTAATACTTCTATTGAAGGTGCTCTTTTGCATGCATTTTCTCTTTTATTTCTACACATATAAGCAGGAATTTTGTTTTATTCATAACAATATTTCATTTGTGTGTCAAAGTAACCCCTAGAAATGCTTTATTTTTAGAAATGTATCAATATGTAGTTTAGTATAGCTATGCATAGTACTTGAGAATAAGGTAAGATAACTTTAGAAAAGTGTACAATATGTTACAATTGTGCAAGTCTGTCACAAACATGTTTACTATTTCAATCAGATTTCATTTTTCTATTGGTAGACTTTAAATTAAACAACTGAAATTTAGGCAGGTTCTTCAGCAATAGGAAGCACCAAGATGAGAAAACTTTTTGGGATATGATTAGGGATGAACAAAAGGATATTAATTGAATCAAAATTTAAATATTAAGCAATTGATGGTTAAACACTTGAGTCTGTGGAAAAGGAACAGGCTAGGAGTGAAGTTCGTAATCTGAAATGAAAATGACTAATAGAAATAGAATGTCTGGTGTGTCTGCACTTGGGAGGAGGTAGGGATTTGGTATTCTTGAACTCAATGTATGTGTAAAATGGCAGCCTAACCCTTTTTAAAATGTTTATTTTCAACTTATTTATTTATTTTGAGATGGAGTTTCACTCTGTCACCCAGGCTGGAGTGCAGGGGATCAATCTAGGCTCACTGAAACCTCTGCCTCCTGGAATCCAAGCATTCTCCTGCCTCAGCCTCCTAAATAGCTGGGACTACAGGTGCCCACCACCACACCCAGCTAATTTTTGTATTTTTAGGAGAGATGGGGTTTCACCATGTTGGCCAGGCTGGTCTCAAACTTCTGACCTCAAGTGATCCATCCACCTTGGCCTCCCAAAGTGTTAGGATTACAGGCGTGAGCCACCACACCCAACCCAATTTATTATTTATTGAAAATTGACCATAACAAATTTATTGTGATATCTGTAGTGAGAAGAAAAAGACACACTATATTTTATTTCCTCTCTAAATGCTTTCTTTTCACTAAAAATACCTTAAAAATCTAACTCATTATAAAACAAGGAACATGATAAATGGCACCTGAAATTTTGTGACAAGTACATGTTTAGTCCATGAGGAAGCACTCTGCTATGACGCAGTATCATCTGGTTCCCATTAACACGATTAATCTGAAGTGGATCTTTCAGCAAAGATACATTGTAGAAAATAGTCAACACTTGGGTTTGGTGAATGATGTGACTATCTACCTAGTTGCTGAAGCCTATGACCTGGAAATCTATTTTGTCTTATTACATGATATACACATATTGAAACTAGGGCATCTATCATGAAGTCTTATCAATTCTATTTCCATCCACTTGTCTCCATCCTCACAGTCAGTATCCTAATCTAAGGCTCTCACCCATTTCCTGCAATAACATCAGAACTAGTTTTATCTCCCTATGATATATGCTACATCCAAGCTGATTTCTCTATAATGTAAATATGAATATGTTATATTCTTGCTTAAACCTTTCAATGACTACTAACATTATTGGTTTAAGTTATCTCCTGAAATAGCTTCTGGATAGGGTCACCATATGGTCCAGTTTGTCTTTGACAGACCTATTTTTTGTGTGCTCTTGTGACATTATTAATATTTCCCACTTTTTTATGAGTGTTTCAGTTTTTATGATAAAATATGTAGTCAGTCTCATTATAAATGACTTCAAGATTGGACCGCTGTTTCACTTACAGCCATTTCTCACATTGCATATTTTATTCAGCAAACCCTACTCAACTTCCTTCAGTGATAAAATGTGGAGACTCTGATTTTGTGGAGGCTGATTTTCTTTGCTTAATCATTGTAGCAAACTAATCTCTTCAAAACATCCTCTGATTCAATCATCATCATCACCATTTCAATATAATTTGTTCACTTGTTCTATATGCATTGAGTTTATAAAAATTTATCTTGTTATTATCGGGTTATAAAATCAGGTGTTTTGATGATTATTTTACGGAATATGGAAACTTAGAGGGCATAAAATACCCAAGGTTACAGACTAGTAAAGTCACAGATACCATTTAATACTCAACCTTAATATTTCTAATCCAGTGTCCTTTATATTTTGGTAATGGTTGTAATTGTAGCAGATGTAATAGCATTAGCAGTAGCAGCAGCAGTAGGAGTGCTGGCAATAGTAGTGGTAGTAGAAGAATAAGTGTACACCATGCAATACTTCACAGTCATAAAAAAGAATGAAATCGTGTACTTTGCAGCAACATGGATGCATCTGGAAGCCATTATCCTAAGCACATTGATACAGAAGCAGAAAACGAAATACCATGTATTCTCATTTATAAAAGGGAGCTAAACTTTGGGTACACAGAACACAAAGATGGCAACAGCTAACACTAGGCATGCCGAAAATGGGGAGAAAGGGAGAAGATAAAGGGTTAAAAAAAACTGCTTATCAGGTTGCAGGTTCACTACTTCAGGAATGGGATCATTAGAAGCCCAAACCTCAGCATCATGAAATATACCCATGTAACAAACCTGCACCTGAATCTAAAATTTTAAAAAGTAAAATTAAAGTTAAAACAAGTTGTATTCCCTATCATGTTAAATAATAGATATAGTCCACATTTAAAGTGTAATGTTTCTATTCTTTGCAGGTAGAATTATTTATCTGCAATTGTTAAGTGGCTTTTTTTTTAATGACTAGAGTTTCATTTACACTAATGTGTAAAACAAATTTTACACAAATTTATTTTTAAAGAGTTTCATTCCTTCCTTTCCATTCATCTTTAAGTAGCAAATTCTCATTATAAACTATGCAAACCATGTCTCCCCCTCCCTCTAAATAAATAAATAAAAGTGTAAGTGTAACCATGATGGCACTGGTGGTGGCTAAAATGATCTTGATGGTAACATGTTTTAGGCATTTTGTTAAGGCTTTGAAAATATGATTTTATTTAATAAAAAATACTATGGGATTGACTTGATTTAGTAAAATTGTATACATTAAGAGTCTGTCATTTTGGTAGTAATAGAGCAGAAATGAAAACCTATATCATTTCAAATATAATACCTGCATTCTTTCAATTTATTTTTTATTTTTTATTTTTTTAACCTTTATTTTAGATTTGAGGGTAACGTGAAGGTTTGTTACATAGGTAAACATGTGTCATAGGGATTTGTTGTATGTATTATTTCATCACCCAAGTATTAAGCCCAGTACCCAGTAGTTATGTTTTCTGCTCCTCTCCCTTCTCCCATCCTCCCTCCTCAAGTAGACTCCAGAGTTTGTTGTTTCCTTGTTCCTGTTCCCAAGTTCTTATCATTTAGCTCCCACTTATAAGTGAAAACATGCAGTATTTGATTTTCTGTTCCTGCATTAGTTTGCTAAAGATAATAGCCTCCAGCTCCATCCATGTTCCTACAAAAGACATGATCTCATTCTTTCTCATGGTTGCATAGTATTTATACACACACACACACACACACACACACACACACACCCAACATTTTCTTCATCCAGTCTGTCGTTGATGGGCATTTAGGTTGATTCTGTCTTTGCTATTATGAATAGTGCTACAATGAACATTTGTGTCCACATGTCTTTATAATACCTGCATTCTTAACCTGTGCTGCACTGTGTTATTCTAATAAAACAGTTTCTAAAGAGCTCCTTATTAGTAAGTATAAGTAATGTGCATTTGGGACAAATGATATGTTTAAAACAGGGAAAACATTCAATTTCTCAGAGACTCTTTTATTTGCTTGACTCATTGAGAGACTGTCCACATTTACAATGGAAGCAACCTGCCTTACTAGACAGTCTATATAGATTAAATATTTAATTTACTACTTGGTATAGAATTTTGCCTTTCTCATATAAGGATTTCATATTTTCTGAAAATGAGTGCTTCAAAGAAAAGTATTGATTCCTCCCTTTGTGCCTTTTTACAAAGATACATGATAAGAGGTAAATTTTTCTGTGGTTACACTTACTTCTGAAGTCACGAACTGTAAAATTTGGTTTGATAGCAGCCTCAGGTGATAATCTAAAGGAGAATTGTTGCCCAGCAGGTGAAAGATCTCGGTCTGCAGCACTGACTATCTGAATTATCTGAAACAGAGTTGAGATTAAACTTGAAGTCGGTCGTCAGTTTCAAAGAGGACTTTACACACCAGGCTACTAAATGTATTTAATGAAACATGCAAGTAGACAGAAATGACACTTTTTGAGTCAATAACAGTAGGTCAATTATTTACACATAATTTTTATAAAGAAATTTCTAACATTTACAGGGAATAATGACAGGCACAATTACAGAACATGGGCTAATTTCAAATTGATACCTGCGTAACTAAAAAGGTAACCAGCATTAAAAATTCACACTAATAAGCAAAGTAAAATTAAAATGTACTTGCTTGCATTTTAAATTAGATCAAATAAATGCTTTCTAGCCTGAATATAAATATGCTTACTGAAAACAAAATCTCTGGTTATCTAAAAGCCCTTGTGATAGCAAAATTTTAGTATGAGTAATGTTTTGTAACAATGGTTCTATTTTCATAAATAAATAAAATGATGAGAAGGAGAGATATAAAAGCAGTATATCTGCTTTCATTATGTTTTTCTTCATTCGGTAGGAATACAAATTGTGTTTTCAAAGAATTTTTAAAAGAGTAAGCACTATCGTTCCTGTTACAAAATTTTTCCTAAATTGCTCCCATACATTGTGTATCTTACAGTTAAAAGCCTGGTACTTCAATGAAATGTCCTTAAATACTCAGAGAATAAAAATAACTTCTGAGAATCAACCTGTGAAATTTACAATCCATTAAATAGATAAGCAAGTAAAAATGGCGTTGAGGCATGTATTTATTAACATATCCAATGGCTGTGCATCAGACAGAATTTCAGGAAGTGTATGTGAGAGATGACAAGGGCAGAGTGTTGGCCAGATAATCATGCTCTCAGACTACATTTGAATATGCAAGAGGAAGGCTCTAGATTTCAGACACTATATCCTGGTCCCAGTGTGTAAAGCATGCATTACGTGATCTTACATTGATGCTATTAAGCATGAGAATTCAGTTAAAACCCAATTTTATGACTATGATCTATGTTCCTGTTTATCTGCACACACACATGGATAGATAGATGATAGATTTGTAGGTAGGTAGATGGATGGATGGATGGATGGATGGATGGATGGATGGATGGATAGATAGATGATAGTTATGTATGTAGGTGGGTGGATGGATGGATGGATAGATGGATGGATGGATGGATGGATAGATAGATAGATAGATAGATAGATAGATAGATAGATAGATATCACTGGGACCTGGGATATACAGTGCAGTGTTAGTAATTTCTAATTTAACAAATTAATTGGTCCTCTTGTATGAATTTTGATTTCTTGTCTTAGTGTGAATTAGTCACACAGACTCTATTTAAGCTTTAAAATTGTCACGGGGAGGCTTTCATTATTCAGCACCAAAGTCTAAATCATGGGATGTGTCTACTTAGTCAGTGAATCACCACACAGACCCTATGAAACCAACTTTCCTTCACTTAGACCAATGTCTACAGATCACTCTATTTCACTGATAAAATTTCTATATATCATTTGGGGACTGGCTGTCAAATTTTGCCTCTAACTGTTATAAACTAGTACCATTTACTAAATTAAATGTATAACATCAAAATCTATCAAGAATATAACTCTAGAATAAAGAAAAGTCCTTAAGAACAGCATATAGATATGAAGACTTTGTTATAGACTGGAACTCATCTAGAAGTGTCACTTGGGAGTCCCTGCCCCAAGGAAAACAGCTCCCATATAAATCTTCACTGATTTACATAGCATCATCTTTCCTCCTATTCTTATTTTTTCAGAATAAATACATGAAATGTAGATGATCGATAGGCAGATAATAGATAGTAGCATAATCCAGAGGAGACAGTTCCTCTGCATAGTTCTTAGGCCAGTGGCAGAATGGCAGGGCTCAAAAACTGAAAATATATACATTGCTCATATATAGATTTCTTACATATTACAATATATTACAATTAATTTCTCATATATTACAATCCCTGAAAACTCAATGGACATTTCAGGGTTATGCTTTGTAGAAAAGTATGGCTCAATTGGACACAAAAAGCCCCAGAAATATATTTTAGAATAAGAGTCTCTAAGAATTCAAGATATTCTTCAAATTTTTGTTCAGATATGAAAAAATAACATTGATTTCAACTAATTTCCTTTTCTCAACTCAACAAATCCTTTAATTTATTGGACAAACATACAGCATTAAATGGAGCTCTATTCCCGAAGGCTTCCATTTGGAGCATTAGAAATGAAATTCTAATTGATCTGAAATCATTGATATCCTCAATCATCTAAAAGCTAAAGAACTGGGTTTTTTTGGTCTTTGTTTAGTGAGGTATCCTGAAAGTGGAAAATAGCTAACTTGATGAATTTTGGTGAACCTCTTCAAATTCCTAAAACAACCAAATTGGGTTATTTATTTGGGCCCAAATATTTTTGTAGCAACTAGGATTTCAGAAACTAAAGAAAGCTGTAGGCTCATCCCATATAAATTGTGTATGCACTTAAGGTGATACATTTTAAGTGCATTCTGTGCCCATCCAAAATTAAGGATGCAGATTTCTTACTTGAGAAAATATCACAAAATGAGTTATGATGTTAGAAGATTAATGAGTCCCCAAATTATCAAGTGGAAGAGTAAAGCAGCACAGTCTACTAGAAGTTTCCATGGTTATGAAAATATTCTATGTCTGCAGGCACCAAAATAATATCTACTCACCACATACTGAGCACTTGAAATGTGGTTAGTATGAATGAGAATATAGTTTTTAGTTTCATGTAATTTTAATTTTATTTTAATATCTATACAACTAGTAGACATCACAGGTTTAGAACTATGGGACAAAGGTTCCGCTAAGTGATGTAAAGCATGGAAATTGAAAAAGATACTAAAGATTAAAGAATGACTTTTTTCAACAAAAATACTCTTGTAAATATCAAGATTTATTTCAAGAACTAAAACTTCAATTTACTCAAGTGAATAGTTATGCTATTTAAAGTTGATCAAAAATAGAATAAACCAAAGCATACCAATGCATTTTCCATTTTGTCCATTTGGAATGTAAGTCCACAGTATTAGATTAAACATATTTTTGACCCATGTCTGATTCCCTTTATATTATTCCTTTATTCATTCATAAGACTTTGGGGGGAAAAAAAAGAAGAAAAAACGGCAACCTACCACCACCTAACATAAAACCATTCACAATCAGTTTCATTAACTTTGTGGTCTTCTTTCCTCATAACATCTTCCCACAACTACATCTTCACAGAATAATATTAACTTCATAAGAAAAATGAAAGTCAGACATTTAAAATAACCCAGATGTTCTCCTCAAGGCCACCAGAGAGGGAAGCTTTGCATTTTCAGGTTAGATTAAAAGATCTGTTGTGCAACTAATACAAGCACGTGAGCAAAATAAGAAATATACTGGGAGAATGCACTCTAAAGTGACTGGCTTACTGGGTTTATAGTCACAAGTTCTTTAGAAATTTGTGAGTGTGGGCTAGGGGCGGTGGCTCATGCCTGTAATCCCAGCACTTTGGGAGGCAGAGGCTGGTGGATCACGAGGTCAGGAAATTGTGACCATCCTGGCCAACATGGCGAAACCCCGTCTGTACTAGAAATACAAAAAAATTAGCCGGGCGTGGTGGCCGGTGCCTGTAGTCCCAGCTACTCGGGAGGCTGAGGTACAAGAATCACTTGAACTCGGGAGGCGGAGGTTGCAGTGAGCAGAGATCACACCATTGCACTCCAGCCTGGTGCCAGACTGAGACTCTGTCTAAAAAAAAAGAAAAGAAAAGAAAAAGAAAAAAAGAAAGAAAGAAATTTGCGGGTGGATCACTTGAGGTCAGGAGTTCAAGTCTAGCCTGGCTAACAAGGAGACACCCCGACACCCCATCTCTATTACAAATACAAACAATTAGCTGGGTGTGGTGGCACATGCCTATAATCCCAGCTACTTGGGAGACTGAGACAGGATAATCACTTGAACACAGGAGGTGGAGGTTGCAGTGAGCCAAGACTGTGCCATTGCACTCCAGTCTGGGTGACAGAGCAAGACTTCGTATCAAGAAAAAAAAAAGAATTGAAAAGAAAAGAAAATCAACAGTAGGAGAATAGAAAAACATAGCAGAATCCACAAGTGTAGACCTTTATACAAAGAACTTTCACGAAGCAATCAGTACTTCCTCCATGTAGTATCACCTCCACATCCATTCATCTATATCATTAATTCACAAGAGTTTAATATCTTTTATGGTTTATTTTATGAAAGGTGTGATTCAGAAAAATAAATATATGTGTATACATTCATGTCTGGACTTATAACTTAACATACATGCATATGGTGGGTCTTTATACACTCAAGAAACAATATTTATAAGATACCTGTCCTGGCTTGGCATTTTCACACACGGCTGTCTCATATGGCACAGATATTTCTGGAGGAAATTCATTTACATCTAGGACATTAATCAGTATATTGACTTTGCTGGTTAATAAAGGGTTACCTGTTAAAAACATATAAAGATAAAAGATGATTACAAAATACGGTCAGTTATTGCTCCTACAATAAATGGTATTTAAATTAAAAAAAAAATCAGCCTTTATACAGAATGAAAAAAAATCCTTCTTCTTTTAGGAAATTCTGGGGGTTCCAACTACAAGTTGATTAAAAAAAACTACCTTTTTATCATCTTGTAGTTGGAACCCTTAGAATTCAACACCAAAGTAAGGCCAACTATTTAACTGATATTTTAGCAACAAGTGTAGCCCTTTCTAAAAGAATGACTAAGCTATTGTACCGGGGTTAGTTCACAGAATGAATCTTTACCAACAGTGATATTTTTCCTCAGATAAAAAATTATCTATGTTGTACCCACATAATGAAAACGTTATTGGTTGAATAATCTACATATTTAAATGACTCACTCAAAATGATTCCTCCTAGAAGATTCCTCCTGAAAAGAAGAATTATAACCAAAAAAAAAAAGAGAGAAAAAAGGCTCTTTATAAATGAAAAGTATTAAAATAAACCTAAGGAAGTAGAAATAAGAGACGGATTATGGAAAGCTATATACTTCCTTAAATTACTTGCTGGTGATAAAAAAGGAAGTAATAAATGTTTTTGCAATAACTTCCTTCTTCCTACTTCCTAGTATCAAAAAGACTGTCAGTTTGACAAGATGCCTCTGCCAAAATCCCGTCACAGGTTTTGGTCCCAACCTACGGATTATTATCTGGATCTCTGTCATTTACTGAATAAAACTAGAAAATAATTAAATAAACCAATAAAGCAAAAATAATGTACCTATTTGAACTTGTGCAATATATAATTTTACCTTACGAAGTGTTACAGATGGATAAACTGTTGCACATTGCTGAAAGACCTCTTGCCCAGAGGCAGAAAACTAAATGAATGAGGAGTTTAGATCCAAACCCAGGATTACGAAAATGCAAAGACCATGTTTATTCCATCATACCTTCTCTATTGATTGGTTTATGAGTTAAACTCTTCTGCAATGCCACCAAAGACTTCTAATATTATTTTAGATGTCTATCTAGAATACTTCAAAGAATGCATACAAAATCGTTCCACATGACTGATTTTGAAAGGTATACAATATCTTGCTTAGTTAAAATTCATTTAAAAAATACACAACAAGCATTTGACACAATAGCTTTAACAGCATTCTCATATTCACATATGACAGTGAAATTCATTATTTGCACCAATACCAGCACAGATAACATAAATTGCTTATAAATGGTTCGTTCTTCTAACACCGGGTGTGCTTATAAAAGGTAGATTAATAATCTTGGAGAATTATTCAGAAAATACATATTATTTAAAAATTGATATTGGTCACAAGCCATGATCTTATTTGATAGAAACTTTTTAGCCCGTTTTTCACAAGCTATTTCACCTTTCTTTAACTCAGTTTCCTTGTATGAAACATACGGTTTTAATAGGCCGTGCTTCACAGTGGTGTTGCATTAAATGAGATGGTATTTTACAAGGTGTTTGATAAATTTTGGTAAATATCATTACTCTTATTACCGTTTATACTTTGTGGGGATGATCAAGATCTGTTTCTGTTATTGCTACTCATTATCTGCATAGTATAAAATATAAATAAAAGTCAACAAGTTGGTTAAACTAGGTTTACTTTTCTAAAGAAACTGGAAATTATAAACAACAGCAATGCCTAATGCCTAATACTTTAGAATCTTTGCAATGTACATATATTCAAAAGCACAGTACAAAGATGAACTCACTTAGACTTTACAGCAACTATGATATAGGCATTATTTTTATCTCCATTGTGTATGTGAAACTCTGAAGAGATGGGAATGTAACTTCTCAAATATCATAAATTGAAAGTGGTAAGGCTAGGTTTTGATTCCAGCTGTTCTGATTCCACAGCTCATGCTCTTAAACTCTATCATATATTGAGCTTTAGATGAAAAAATAAACCACTTTGACAAGCATATAGCTACTTACAAAAAGACGACTAATTCATTTTATAAAGTTTAGTCAATGAATGTGAATAACTTAAACTACTCAACATCTGGGCAATGTAAAACTCAGTTTCTACTTTTTATTTTACATGGTATATAATGTATGAGTCCTGCAGCTACATGAAAAGGAAAATATCTTTTTTACTTTTTTTCAGTATTACGGTTTTGTTTTATTAAGTTGATGTGACAATCGGATATCTTCCGCAGGGGACAGGAGTTTTCCTAGAGATTTATGATATAAGAAAAGGTTATTAAAATGAATTTAGGCCTGGTTTATCCATCAAAAATTAATTCTGTTCTGCTAGTTGTAAATTATTTTCTATCCTGCAAAATAAATTCTAATATCTGTTATGAGTAAATGGTCCCAAACTTATTCTTAATACTGTAATTTTTTTTATTAACAGTGTTTCCCCAAAAGTACTATTGGCATTTTAGCTATGACAGTGTTTTGTTCAGTGAAACTTCCCTGAGCACTAGATATCCTATAGGATATCTCAATTCCTAAAGATTAAATGTCACAAGGCATCATTGTGGCAATACAAAATAAGTATCCAAATAGAGATAAAATAACAAAAAACATGTTTACATTGTTGAAAATGAGTAACAAGTTCATCTGTTTAATAATATTACTCTCTCTTCTATCATATATTTTCAAAACTTTTCATAATTAAACATTAAGAATGTCACCTCATATTTTTAAGTGGCCGTTTGAGAAGCAATACCATCTCAGTTTTAGAACTACTATACTCAAATATGAATTGAAATTTTCACAAGAATGAATAATGCATAGGAGTAATACAGTATTATTAATTTATATAGAGAGATATTGTACTAAATTATTTTGAAAAGTAATGACCTATTTTCTTACTGACTCATCTAATCAATATTTGGGGCAGCAATGATGAAATTCATTTAACCTCGATTCAGCATGAGTATTATTATACAATTATTTGAAAATAACACCATGTGGAAATTAGTTACTGTTGAATACTTACGAAGGAAATTGAATTATGAACCTAGTAAACATTAAATAATCAAAGTCTTACACAATTAAGTGTTAAGTTCCTAATAATGAAACCATTTAAATTCTAATTATTATTGTTCCACATTGCCTATGTTTAATAGATAGTTACTTACTAATTTGAGGCTCATGTTAGATAACAAAGAAATAATTCTGTTTGTCCCTTATACCTTCACAATGATTTGTTAGATCTTCCTCTCTCTATCTTTCAATAATATCAGAGTCAGATCTTACAGTATTTTGAGTCAATTCGATTTAGAACCTATTTTATTATTAATATTTTAAAATACAGCTTAAACTAAGAGAAAAAAGGGAAAATAATAAATTACCAAAATCTGAGATGAATTCATTACTTCTCATCATTATAAGTGAAATAAAAAATGATAAAGGAATATGCTAAATTGCTTTATGAAAGAACATAGTTAACATAGGTGAAATTGACAAATTCCAACAAAATGCAAATTACCAAAACTGACTCAAGAATAAACAGAAAATCTTAACATAGTTAAAACAGTGAAGAAATGAACTTGTAATGAAAAATCTCCTCACCAAGTAAAGCCCATGCCCGGGAGGCTTCACTGGGGAATTCTATCAAATATTTAAGGAACAAATAATATTTTCTTACAGTTTATTTCAGAAATAGAGGAGGAAGCACTTACCACCTAATCCTATGTGCCTTGATACAAAAACCGATTTAAAAAATCACAAAAGCCCAAATCACTGACTATTGTTTCTTATAAACTTAAGTACAAATATTCCTTAACAAAATAGTAGCTAATTAATCCCAGCAGCAAGTTATACAGATAATACATTATGACGAATGGGTGTTTATCCTAGGGACACAAGGTTGATTCAACATCCAAGAACAATCTCCATATTAATACAAGGAAGAACAAAATGTTACAAGGCTATCTCAATAGACTTGGAATTTGCATTTGACAAAACCCTAGTCCATTCATGATAAAAACACTCAAGAAATAATAAGTAAAAGGCAGCTTCCTCAACCTGATAAAGTATGCCTATGAGAAACTAATATCATGGTAAAAGACATTTTTATTCTAACACTGTGCACAGAATAAGAATATGTGCTCTTGAAATATATATACATATATCTCTAACATTGTCCTTGAGGGTTTTATGCATTGAAATCAGACCCAAATATAAATTTTTAAATGGTATCCAGATAGAAAGAAAGAAAATGATTATTACTTAAAGATGACATGACCTTGTAGATGGAAAATCTTAGTGAATCTGCAAATCTTACAGATATAATAAAGGAATACATCAAGTTCTTGGGATAGGAGATAAATGTAAAATGATAATTATACACTTAATATACCAGTAAAGTCCAAATTTGTTAGTCCATTAATTACCCTTCCATACTCAAAGGAAAGGAGGATAGACCTCGCTTCTTGACCAAAGAAATGTCAGCTTCATTGTCAGAAGAACATATAGGATAGATTTTTAGGTGTGACATAATTAGAATTCATAATCAAAAATCTCTTTTAGAAATGAGTTCACTGGGAACTGCCATTGCAACCTTTGATAAACCCTGGAAAACATGAATTTTAAATATAAAAGAGAATTTTGGTGTTATATAAACTTACAGTTCTCATGCTATTCTTCTTAGTGCTAGGTGGTTTCATGAGGAATAAAGAGAAGCTGTTAGCATTACCCACTATTTTCTTGATGTAATCAATTGAGATTCCATGTAAGATTTTATCTGACAAAGTGTCCTGCTCATCTACAAAGTTTGAAAACTATAGATGCATAGATATCTATTGATAGATGAAAAAACATTGATATAATCTTTCCTATGATTTCTGTTGGAGTCAAGACAGGAATCCAGATCTTCTCACAGTTTCTCCATGCTCTATGATAGCTATTAACTAACTCAGCAAGAAGATGGAATGCCTGAAATCTACCAATATATATGATGATCACTTATCCTCAATGAGTCACATTCAG